TTATTTATTGTGTTGCTTGATTATTTATATTTATTGCTTGATCACGCCTTTTATGCATGCTTAAAGGGAATTTGTACTTATAATCACGCTTAATAAGATAATTAATAATCTTGTTAGGTTAACTATGATTATAATCTCAAGTGATTGCAATAATAGTTTATTTGTGCATTAAATTCAACCAACATAGATTAAACAGGTTTAGGGTTAATTCATATTGATTGCATGTTAGTCAGAAAGCGCACATGAATACAAGCAGAATAAAGTAGAGGCCTATTATTAGGGCAGATTCAATCTCTTTTAGGTTGGATTTGTACCATCATCCCCGAACCCTTATTTGGTTCTAGGCCTTATGGAGTTGACGATCTCTTGGATCGTTAAGGGGTGTAACCATCATCCTATAAACGGTTTACAAGTTCCTAAAACTTGTTGGCGACTCTTTTTCTCTATCTTCTTCCCTTTTGGACGCCACCGTACTTTAGTGTATGATCACAGTGGGGTTCAAGCTAGTGGGGTTAACGCTTGAAATTTATTCCCTACAATAAGCAGTACAACCAAATACTCTAAGAGGAGAGTAATCAACAATTGTACCTGAATATATCTCCTCTGGAACTTTGAAGTCAATGGAAGAGTGTGGAGACGGTTGGCTATATATGCTGCCGTGGATACTGCTTCCGTCCACAAATCACGGCGATGCCACAATCCAGCATTAGAGATCATACATCGAGATCTTTCTAGAAGAGTTTGATTTATACGCTCGGCAATTCTATTTTGTTGCGGCTTCCCAGGCAATGTCTTGTGTCTAGCAATTCCGACTTGAGCACAAAACTCTTGAAATTCATCTTCTTAAAACTCCAAACCACGATCAGTCCTAAGCTTTTTAAATTTCTTCTCGGTCTGGTTCTCGACAAGAGCTTTCCACTTCTTGAAAGTGGAGAAGGCTTTATTTTTCTGCCTTAAGAAATAAACCCAGACTTTGCGGGAGAAATCATCAATGATAGACATGAAATAACGTTTTCCAGAATAAGAGGTGACTCTAATAGGTCCCCACAAATCAGAGTGGACATAATCAAGAATATCTTTAGTTCTGTGAGTAGCAGTAGAGAAACTTACTTTCTTCTGCTTTCCATAAACACAAAGCTCACAGAATTGCAGATTACCCATGCATAGGGATAGCAACGGGCCGGATCTGGATCGGATCCTAATGGATCTATATCCAGATCCGTTTTACTATATAAGATCCATATCCGAACCATATCCGTCGGGTATGGAAAATGAAGATCCATATCCATATCCGACGGGTCTTACGGATCTGGGTCCAAAACGGATCTAAAACGGATCCAAAACAACTCAAGCCATTAATTCAGATTTAAGTAATTAATGACTACTAAATTAAATTTAACAACTCATATAGCAGTTGTAAATTGCATAAAATCTAACTCTAGCGAATTATACATACCGAGTGGAATGTTTCAACATAAAATTGCAAAATAACCTCAAAACAATTCCAGACATCTTGAACAAAATTAGAAAATGCAATAGCAACAATTTTAATCCAATTAACAAACCAAATAATGTACAGATTTCACAAAACCCATTTTTATTAAATTGTCAGTATATTACATTATACTTAAACCTATTCAAAAACATAGTTGAACACCATAATCAGCCTCACGGCCACAAACCCCCTTCTCACGGTTTTGCCTCACTCTATCACCTTCATAAACACCACTGTCCAGCCGCCACCTCTGCTCTCCTCTGTTTTGGGCGTCGCTGCTAATTGGGTTTAGTTGTTATTGGAGGAAAGATGATTGGGGTAGAGACTAGAGAGGGAGAGGGCACGCGGTTTTTTAGGATGGGGTAGAATGAGTTAGGGTTTAATTAGTTTGAGAGTTTTTTGAAGAGAGTTTGGAGTCTTAGCTTCTATTTCAGTTTAGGTTTAGGTTATTGACTTCTTGGGCTGGGCTTCGTAGAAAGTTAAAAAAAAAAAAGGATAAACAAATCTGGGTACGGGTATTTTGGCAGACCCGTATCCAGATTCGTTTTTTAGGATGGGATCCGTATCCGACCCAGATCCGTCGGATCTAAAATTTGAAGATCCATTTCGCAAAAACGGATATGGATCCACGGATCCGGGTCGGATACGGATCCATTGCCATCCCTACCCGTGCCAGGTGAGCCAACATGTCCACGTTTGCTCAGGACCTCCAATCCTTTCTCACTCATGTGACCAAGGCGCATATGCCACAATTGAGTGAGTTGATAATCAGATAGTGAAGATGATACGGCTGCTGCACCTGTTACTGTATGTCCTTGCAAGAAATACAAACTGCCATGCTTATTGGCCTTCAAGGCAACTAGGGCACCTTTTGTGACCTTCAAAACTCCACCTTCAGCCGAAAACTTGTAACCAAGAGAGTCTAGGGTACCAAGAGATATTAAGTTGCGTTTTAAGTCAGGAATGTGACGAACCTTAGTTAAGGTTCTGACAACGCCATCATGAGTCTTGATTTTGATTGTTCCTATGACAATAACCTTATAGAAAATATCATTTCCCATTAACACTTTACCAGAATCAACAGATTCATATGTGGTGAACCAGTCCCTATGAGGACACATATGATAGGTGCAACTAGAATCAAGAATCCATTCATTGAGACTTTTCTTTTCAGAGGTTACAAGTAACATTGTGTCACTTTCAGAATCAGTCTCGATGTTGCTAGCTTCAGCGGATTTTTGAGGTTGTTTGGATTTTTCTTCTTTTTCCTTCTTGTTTTTCAATTTGAAACAATCAGAGACTTCATGCCCAGATTTCTTACAATAACGACAGGTGACATTTTGTTTACGTCCCCTTGATTTGGATCAAAATTTCTTTTTATGTGTGTTACCTCTTTCATGAGATCTTCCTCTTACATTAAGCCCTTCAGCTTTATCTTCATTATTCACTTCAAGGTTAAATTTTTCTTTTGAGAGTAAGTGTGATTTTACATCGTCAAAAGAAATAGTTTCACTGGAACCATATAACATAATTTCCTTGAAGTGTTTGTAAGAGGGAGGCAAGGAGACAATTAATAATACAGCCTTATCCTCATCATCAATTTTAACTTCCAAATTCTCAAGATCCATGATAATAGAATTGAATTCATTAAGGTGAGATTGGATGGACGTACCTTCGGCCATACGAATTGTATAAAGTCTCTCTTTGAGACGAAGTTTGTTGGCAAGACTTTTAGTCATATAGAGAGACTCGAGCTTCATCCATAGGGCAGCTGTAGTTTTCTCGTGTACCACCTCACGTAACACCTCCTTGGTTAAGCATAGTTGGATAGCCGACATGGATTTTTCATCCAACTCTTGCCATTGCTCTTCAGACATGGTTGAAGGCTTCTTATCAAGAGCCTAATTTAATCCGTTCTGAATAAGAACGACTTGCATCTGGATTTTCCAGATACTAAAGCTTATCTTACCATCGAATTTCTCGATGTCGAACTTTGTAACGCTCGACATTATAAACCTTTAGCTCGGATACCACTTGTTAGGGTATGAGTACGCATCGAAAATGTAAAATAGAACGAGAAATTAAAGGTAAAATGTAAGATAAGCAATAAAAGGAGACACGATATTTAACGTGGGAAAAACCCTCTAAATAGAGGTAAAAAAAACCCACGACGACGAGCACCAAAAAAATCCACTATAATAAAATGAGAGTACAAAGTTACCCCAATAATAGGGTATTGAGATACAACTCTTACAATTAAACTCTCAAAATAAAAGAAAAGAAAATAGTGGAATAAATTACAAGGAGGAGATTAACTGGGGAGACTATTGTAAATGGATGAGTAATTTTGTGAGTGGGTAAATTTGTATAATGGAGGTTGAATGTATATTGGTTGGATCCCTTAATATGAGCCAAACTCCAACTATTTATAGTTGGTTAGGTCGGTGGAAATGGATGCCCCAAGATGTATAAAGAATTCTCTAGATTTACTTGCATGATAATATTGCTTCTAGAAAGTTGACCATTTTCTATAATAATCTAAGATATATATATAAAGGAGAGTTTTTTCCCGAGTTTTTAGAGAGCCACGTAGGATTTAATTTTCTTATCGCGCCACGTAGGATTATAAATTTAAGTTGTATCCAATTAAATAAGAAATTATTAATTTCTTTTACAATAAAATAATTCAAATGCCACGTAAGCAAATTCGACAAATGAGATTTTAAAGTTTAAATTAATTGAAACAAGGTATTATCTTTTGAGATTAGGAATTTTATCAAATATTTTATTATTTTAAAACTAATATAATAACAATTTTAATTAGATAAATATGAAAAATATTTTTTAAAAAAATACTGACAAACCGTGCATCGCACGGGCTTCATCTAGTCAACATAATTGTAGAATATTTGACATACTCTAGAAGCAAGAAGAATTGTATTAGGCTTCTTAAAAAACTTGGGCCATATAAAATTTTGGGCCACATCTAACACATATGTATAGATACAATTATATCATTTCATTGATTTTACTTGTACAGATAATGTTCAATATTCAGAAAAGCTTAAAATTGAATTTGATTGAAGTTCATGTATCGGTATTTATTTTAAAACACTATTGGAGGCTGTATTGTATTACACAAACACCGTCACATACACAATATAATGAAAGCCGCATAAAAACACCGAGAATGTACACGTGTAACTGAAGAAGTATACATTAAAGTAGGGGTGTCAAACAGATCAGGTCAGGTCGGGTTCGTGTTCGGGTCAGCTAATTTCGGATCAGCCGACCCCCAACCCAAACCTGATCCATTTAAGTTTTCGGGTTGAGAAACTCAACCTGAACCTGATATTTTCGGGTTCGGGTCAACCTGAAAAATGACTTGATTTGACCCAAAATCTTTTTTGGGTATAAATCAGGCTGCTATATTCGGGTTGGGTTAACCCGACAAACCTGACTTTGTTCATTCAATAGCATTTTAAATTTCTTTAGAAAAACAAAATTCAATCTTAAACAAAATAGTCTAATAAATGTACATAAAGGATTACAAACCAAATCTAATTAATGAATAACAAATTGAATTTCAAATGCTACACTAATTTTTAAGTACAATCTTTAATTCACTTTGTTTTGCCCATCCTTCATGAATGTAATTTATCTTCTCTTCTTTGAGATGGATTTGATTGGCCGCTATTTGCTGCAATTAAAAAATAACACAACAATTAATTCAAACCAAAACATAAATAATTTGTTCACAAACATGCAGATCATTAAAAATCAAACAAGTAAACAACTTCTCAAAAAAACAACATTATCAGCGAATAAAACTATTGAAAACATGTAAAACCGTGTAATTAACATGTATAAAACAATAGACTGAAATTAGCATGATTAATTCGCACAAAACATTTACAACAAAAATTAACAACAAAAATCAGCAAAAAAAACACAACAATCATATAACAACAATACAACATAAGTTAACAACAAGAATTAGCATGAAAAATACCTTGGATAGACAAAGGAGAGGCTAAGAAGAGGCTTAGTGGCGTGTACAATATCAGGAGGCATAGAATGATTTAAAAATATTCAAGGATAGAAGAGGATTTTAGGGGTTAAAGATAGAGGAAGTTTAAGAGAGAGAATGAAGGCAAATGACGGCTGAGAGAAAATGAAAGAGAATAGGAGTTTTTAGGGTTTTTGAGTTTATAAGGGGGCTTTATTCGAATTTGGGTTGGGCTGAAAGTTGTTTTTTTTTTTATTTAAATTAAATGTTTTCGGGTTGTATGGGTCATTTTCGGGTTGGAATTTTCAACCTTAACCTAACCCATTGATGGGCGTTAGAACGGTCGCACATTCCACACTCAATCAAACACATTTATTAACAAACACCTTACAAACCAAGCATAATGACAAGTAAGAGTTCGGTCCACAAGGAACAGGATATGGTTGCCAAAGATCTTAACACTTAAGCTAATTCGAAGTCAATGGTGAATTGGGGTTCGTCAAAAAGACAAACAAACTATGGTTCTAAATCAATGGATTAAGGACACTAGGGAATGGGATCCACTCAGCCAAAGCAAATAGACAAACGGGGAGTGAAATAGATAAGATATAACAAGGACTATATGTAAGATCAACCTCATGCAATTAGGAAACAACTTACACTACTAAACTTAGATCCCTCATTAGTTTAGCAATAGAAGATACATAATCAAATTGCAATAAGTAATGTCATGCTTCATTCACATTTCCATGTCAAACTAAGCATATCATGCTATCAAGCTCCTAAATCAAGGGTAGCTAATCCTATCACGAGGAACTAACAAGCAATCTCATACAATCAATTTAATTGCAATACAAACATCAATGCTACTCCCACATTTGCATAATTACCCTAAAAGGTTGAGCTTCACCCAACCCCTAGCAAGAAGACTACTCACAACTCATATTCATCAACATGCAGGGTTCTAACTACTTCAATAATTGGGAAAAATAGTTATCAATCGAATTCACTATCATCCAAGAAGGAATTATCAAGAACTAAAAGGATTCAAGTAACATGCAAATACCAAATAAAATCTAAAATTAAGTAGAAAAAGGTTGAAGAAATTACTAATTGAAGCTTCAAATGTTGAATACAAATTACCAAACCTTGAGAATAATTCTTGAATTTCACTAATACAATGATTTGATTTGATGAAAACTAAGCTAAATTAATTAAAAGGAATGTTTCAAACTAAGAGAGATTTCTGAAAACTAGGCTACTGTTCTTTTCTAAATGAGCTAAAGGGGAAGTATTTATACTCCCCGAAACACATAGGGAAATCCGTCAAAAGAAAACGGATTCCCAGCGAGGAGCGCCCGCTCCTTTCTGCTGCACGCCCTCTCCAGATACTTCAATGAAAAGTCAGATTTGAAAGTGTCAAGGAGGAGCGCCCGCTCCTCACATGGTGCACGCCCGCTCCCCTGCTCCACAACATAGGTAGAATTCAACTTCAAAGGGAGGAGCGCCCGCTCCTGGTCAGGAGCACGCCCGCTCCTAACAGACTCTGAACTTGGGCAGATTGTTGCTGAAGTCGAGGAGCGCCCGCTCCAGGAGAGGTGCACGCCTGCTCCCCTGGAGCGCCCTCTCCATTCTCTAATTTCCTTGCCTTGAACACAAACCATGCATTGGATGCTTGCCAAATTGAGTCAATAGACCTGCAAAACATGGACAAACACAATCCAAGAGGGGACAAGGCCGAGACAAACCATTTTTATTAAAAAACGGGTTAGAAAGAGGGGAAATGAATGCAAAATCGGGTCTAAATTGACACAATAAGTGGTCAAATAAACCACTTATCACCCATTTAAATTTCGTGTCGGGTTTGTGTCGACCCATTTAAGTTTTCGGGTCGAAATCCTCAACCCTAACCTGCTATTTTCAGGTCGGGTTCGGGTCGTGTTTTCGGGTCGGGTCAGCTTTTGCCATCCCTACATTAAAGGTACTACTATACTATTTTGTAATTGTTACTGTCTTATTGATGTCTCAATTCTTTTTAAGTTCATCAGTAGTATTATTGGTGAAATATTCAACATGTCAATTAAAGTAATTACTCTTTTTTTTTAGAGAAAGTAATTACTCTTAGGGTCTGTTCTCATTAGCTGAACTGAATTGAGCTGAACTGAACTGAATTGAGCTGAACTGAACTGAATTGAACTGAGCTGAACTGAACTGAAATGAATATTTTATAAGAGAAGGAAATTAGGAGTTGAACTGAACTGAACTGAACTGAACTGAACTGAATTTCAACATAAGAGAACAGGCCCTTAATGTCTATAAAAAAATTGACAATAGTTCATTGTAAGTATTACCCACTATAATTTTTTTATTTAAGAAAATTTAATTTTACCACTCCGGCCTTATTTGCATAATCATCAAATTTTCCTATCATATTACTCAAAGTCTCTTTAGTATTTGACAAATAGCTTCTGTTGCACCCTTGTAGCTAGTATAGCTGGAAAACACTCTATAAAATGAACATTTTGGCAACAAAAAAAAAGGAATAATAATTCATAGGAATAATCCCAACTTTGCTCGATTTGCCCAAAATAATCCCAACTTTTGATTATTTTTTAATAATCCGAACTTTAATATGAATTGCTTTCAATGGTCCTAGCCTTCTAGGTGACCACTAACCTATTGAACGGGTAAATTTGTTTAAAAAAATGTTTAATATACACTTGTCATCACTTAATTGGTCAAAATTAAATTTAATTATATATTTATATTATTGATTTAATTATTTAATTAATTAACTTTAAAATATTATTTTTTATTTATATTTTTTTGTTACTCCCTCTGTGTTTTTAATAAGTGTTACACTTACCAAATCCGGCCATGTTTAAATAAATGTTACACTTCCTTTTATGGCAAAAAAAAAGTACATTAGAATATTATATATCTCTTCTCTCATGGTCCCCACCCAAACCCACTACAACTTTTTCTATTATATTTTTCCTCTCACATTCATTAATTTTCTATAAACTATTAACCCCACTATTTTTCTTTTACAATTTTTTAATACTTCAACTACCCTACTTACCTCTTATTTAATTTAAGTCAATTAAGTTGCCTAAAACTAAGTTCCGGTCAAACTATAACACTTCAAAAAACATGGAGGGAGTATTAATTCTTAGTGAAGGTATTTCTTAAAAAAAAAAAAGTGAGAGAGAAGCCTGCACAAGCCAGCGGCAGGTCAGCGCCCGCTAGGCCGAGCTCATTCTAGCAACAGCCCAACCAGGACCCTACCTTCGACTGCCGCTGGTGGCTAAATGGCCCACACTATCCGACGCCCATCCTGCCGGCTCATTTCCTCCTTTCCTGCCGGCGGAACCCACCCTACCCATCTTCTCTTCCCGTTTATTTTCGATCTGGGTTGTTTTGGGTAGGGTTCAACCGTTTGAGATTTTGGGGGCCGACGAATTGGGGAATAGGGTTGTTTGGGGGAGGCGTTTCGGGGAGGGAGGTCGTTTATACGTGGATCGGGGTGACAAAATGGTAGGAGCGAAGGTGGTGCATCTGTTGGGGGAATTTGGGGGGGGGGGGGTTGATCGTGGGAAGGAGCCGGGTTAGGGATGGTGAGGTAGCTCCCGCCGAAGGGGCCGGGGAAAAATGGCGGGCGGGTGATTATGCCGGCTAGGCGCTGGCAGCCGAGGTGGGGGGTCCGGCGCTAGGGCGGCGGTGGCTAGGCTGGTGGATTAGAGGTTTTTTAAAAAAGTTTTTTTATTAAATATAGATTTTATTTATTTTTTTTACCTATCACGTCCTGACACGTGTCAGGCGACTTGTTATAACAAATTTGATAACCGGTTGGACAATTAAAATAAAATTCATATTAAAGTTCGATTTATTAAAAAATAATTGAAAGTTGAGATTATTTTAGGTGAATCGAGCAAAGTTGGGATTATTCATGTCAATTTTTCCAAAAAGAAAAAAATTGAGTATTTATTGAACGGATTAAAAAATGAGCCTCAACTACATACTACTAAAAGCAAATCTAAGGGGACACTTGACAATATATTATTCAAAAATTTCCTCCAAAGTTACTTTCCAAAGATAAATTATTGTTTTAAATCTAGATTATGACTTTTTTTTGTATATAATTTTAAAGTAAACTTCCTAAAATATAAACTTGCACTATATAACTATTACATATATAAATATTTTTTTTATCATATGTTTGCGGTGTTTTAATATATTTCATGCGATTTTATACTTGGTCAAATGATTTATTTATTTTTTGTATAATTATTACTCCTTATAATAATTATTCAACATCTGTGCATTGCACGGGGTTAAACTTAGGGTATGTTCTGATTGACTGAACTGAACTGAAATTATTGGAACTGAACTGAATATTTTATGAGAGAAGGATATTAAGATAAGAACTAAACTGAACTAAATTGAATTGAATTGAATTGAACTTATTGGAGCTGAACTGAACTGAACTGAAAATAAGCAGAAGAGAACAGACCCTTAGTTTATTATTAAAAAATAAACACGTCAATAATAAAAATAAATGAACATTTAGTATATTTATAATGAACATGATTATCATACAATTATAATTAGGCAAAATTGGACTCAATAGCATGAACTATTAACAAGTTGCACTCAACAACACAAACTTTTACTAGTAGCTCAAATAGCACGACGACCTATAATATAAGGTGCACGAAACATCATTAAAATGAGTGTTGCCACATGAGATTCTCTCGGAAACAGCCCATACTATCATATTACAAATCTGTTTTGAATTATCTCGAATCGGACAAAATTCTTTCAAAATTTGATGATCAATAGAGTACTAAACTACTAATGCTATCTCTATTGCTAAACTAATCTAGGTTACTAACTTGCTAAGCTTAGAATGCTAAAGAATTAAGAATTGTAAAGCCTAAAGAAAATGTAAAGTGTGATGTTGATTTTTTTTTTATTGGATGTCCTTGATTATTTTGATGTTCCAAATTGCTTAATTAAAAACTTTAGATGGTGATTAGGCATCGAAGTTATTTTCTACTGCTTGCTTTTTTCTTTTGGCTCATAGAGAGTTTTGAAAATCTTATTGAATACTCGTCTTTCTAGCTCGGCTTCATCTCTTGATTCTCTTCTATGGTATTATTCCCATATTGAGCTTCATTGACTCTAAAGTGTAATGTGAATTGGGCTTGAACCTCTAAAGTCAACGAAAATAAAAAATGGGTCAAAGGTCAAAACACAACTCTAGTTGTAATTTAAAGTTGGAAAGTCAACTTTCAAAAAAAAAAAAAA